ATCATGTTACTTTTAAGACTAACGGCTAATTTGCTACATATCCACTTAAATACCAGCTGCTATACTTAACCGTCGTCTTTTTAAGCTATATATTAAACAAATTTTTGAGTATTTGACTGACTTAAAACATTTAATAATTATTACAATAAAAGTATTCATCTTAAAGAACCTAAAGAAGCAGGGTTGGGTCACTATAACTCTACCAAATTTAAAACGTTGCCTAATCCCTTCAAACGTTTCGGCTGTACAGCTTTTTAATTTTGTCAGATAATGATTTATTCATTATAGTCAAAATACGTACTCTGGGATTGTCATTCATTGTGAATGCAACTGCCTTTCTTGTTGTTTTACCCATTTTCGGTGATTGAGTAATTACTGTTTTATTGTTTTTTTCTTATAGTTTTGTTTTAGTTGTTGTTAAGTTTTGCTAAATTGCGATTCTGGTGCAGGCCCGAGTGGCCTACAACAATTACCTTTCATTTCAGCAAGTTTTTCCAATGTCTTAATCAATAATACTAATAATATCTGAATAAATGTTATAATAACAGTAATAATAAAAATTTCATTTTGTTTACCTATATTTTCTGGACATAGATATAACTAAATTATATTCTAATTATATTCACTCACAATTAGAATCAATCAAAACAACAGATAGATAGTTTTATTTCCATGTTGGCTCTCAGTAAAAGATGAATTTAGAAAATGCTAGTCTCATTTCAATCCCGAGAAAATATTAAATTGCCCAACTCTTTAGGTAGTCACCTAAAGTTCAAAATTTCAACAAAACTATTATAAATATTTTTTTAAATTTATCTTGTAAATAAAATGTGCTGCACTGCTGTTTCTGAGATCCTCTTTTTTCTAATGTAATAATGAATGGAGTATACCTAGATATGAGAAAATTGTTGAAGTAGCATATTTGATTATATGTTTCATTTTATTGTAATATGTAAATTAGTTACAGGATTTAGTGCACACACAGTAGTAGTAAGTAAACGTACAAGAAAAAAAAAACAAAATAATTGAAGAAATTTATCGAAAGACAAGGTTCAACCTTATAAGGAGCAAGGTGAAATACAAAGCGTCCAATGAAATAACGGACTTACAATTTGCATACAAACTCGACATATCGAGAAATATGTCCACGAGAGTACCACTATTATTTATTCCGTACTCAAACTGAGTATTTACAGCCAATCAAAAAAGCTGTTAAGCCCGCTTCACACGCAACGTGTGCGCATCGCGTGTCCAGCTAATAACTTGTTTAATCTGTGGTAGCGCGTTGGTTGAGCTTCTTCATGCTCGTGCCAATTATGCTTCTGTGAGAAAATGTTAATTTTTGGGCTGTTTTACAAGGCTCCTTTTAATATAAAGCCACATTTACATTACGAGAGTACTTGCGTGAAACTAAAAACAAGTTTCACGAAACTAATTTCGGCACATGTGAAGTTACTTCGTAATGGCAATCAATAGGTACTACAGCCGCATGAGTCAAAGTAATTATTCAAGTAAATATTTTTAACAAGTAACAAGAATTTGAATGAAGTATGTAATTACTAATTACTCTTATTCTAAAGATACGAGTCAGAGACACTGGCGTCATCAATATTGAAGCTTTACTATGCATAGATGAGACGCGACACTAGTTCCGTTATGTAAATGGTGATGAAATTAGTTGCGTGAAACTAGTTTCATCAAAAATATGCGCATCGCTCTAAACAAGTTTAGTTTCTAGTTTCATGACACGAAAGCAGTATAATAGCACGCAGCATTGTGAAAGTTGACGTTTACACGTGCAACTACTAGCGAAATAAATGCACTAAAACTAGTTTCATGCAACTACCTTTGGAATAGAAATTGGGCATAAGAGTCTATGTCTGTTTTTACTGGAAGCATGAGATATAGAAATGTATCTAAATTATCGTATATCCAGCAGTGCTTGATTGGTTTCGTAGCTATTTACATGGTGACCGGCATCGTATACATGCTGATAATTCAGTATCTACGTGGGCTTACACGACTGCCGGTGTTCCTCAGGGCGGTGTGTTGTCCCCGTTATTATTTTCTATTTTTATTAATTCTATTACCCTAACAACTCTCGTCTTCCTATCATTTGTATGGTCTTCAAATTTACTCACAGAGCGCTTCGAGAAGCTTAATGATACAGTTAGCAATATTAACCCAGACTTGGTGCGTATTATCCAGTGGAGTAATTCTTTTGATCTCAAAGTTAATCCTAATATAATGCAGGGTATATTATATAATTATAATAATATATTAATTATACCTTTTATATTTCTAGGATTAAATTTGATAGATTACCACCAATTATATTAGATGAGGTTCATGTGCCTATTGCTGATACGGCGAAAACTCTAGGTATTATCTTTGACAACACACTGTCCTGGCGTCCATAAGAAACAGAGATTAGCCAGAAGATGTTTGCTGCCTCGGAGTAACTCACACGCATTTTTTTACCAATTTCTACCAAAATTACACTTGCGCATTCATTCCTCTTGCCCCTTCTTGACTATGCAGATGCATGTTCATAATTGTTCATATTTAGATTGCGCATGTTTCCGAATTCCGTAAGCAACTTCAGTGGCAATTTCAACTCCCCATTTGTCGTCGTAGGGATATACATATACTCTCGCTTCTCTACTCTATACCGTTCAATTCCTCCTAATCCCACTAAATTCTATAGTCAATCTTTTACAGCACAAGCAATAAATATATGGAACTCTCTAGCTGAATCTATCATACGGGCTAATTCTTTAAACTCCTTTCCCCTTTTCTGTCAAAACTTTAGACTGCTTTTCTATTTTCTTTTCTCACTTGTGTCACACATTGTTCTGAGCATTTTGTTTGACTTTACTTACTTTTTTTAGTAATACTTCGCTGTTACAACTGTTGTTCTTCTGTTCTATTTAGTTTTTTATGATTTAAATTGTTATTTGTTGTATGTACAATCAGCTATTGAATGTTTTATTTTTTTCCATCCAATGCAAGGTTGCCAAGAAGAAATCGTTGGCTAGCGATAAGGCCGCCTTTTGTAAGTTTGTTCATGTCCTACATAAATAAAATATAAATAGATAAAAAATGTATTCAATAATAATAAACAATAAATAGTTACATATACGATAATAATATAAGATAATTAATACATAAATATTCATAGATACATTAATTCCAATTTTGCTTAACAGATGACGCACTGCCATTTTGAATCGCGATATGATTGTATTCTTGAGGATTTATATATACATTTGCGATTTTTAACATAAGGTTTTTTTTTTGACTGTTACCATGAAATAAATGGTAAACGAAACTTCAGTTCAACTCTTGCTCTAGACTACGATTTATTCAAAGTTTTTTTGGGAATATTTATGTGTATCTATGTAATTTTCTTTTTTTGTGCAATAAAGAGTATTAATATTATATTTTTTTCACACACATTGTCTTCTACTTATAAGGTTTATCAATACATTTTTTTTTCTCAACTTTTTGTGGTGACATTAATTAGTAATACAGACAGATTAACTGAACTTAATTTTATGATAGAAGTTGTAACATAGGAATTGTAATTTGTATTGTATAAAAAAAAAAAAATTTGACAGTTTTGTTCAATTGTTGTTTGGGGCTTAAATTGAGTTGAATTGATTGTCAAAAAACAATCATCTCAGTTTTCAATCAGAAAAAGCTTAAGTAGCACAAGGCTGCACGTCAGGTTACCACAATATGTTTAATTTCTTCCAGTTGATTTTAAACTCTTGTTAAAGTTGTGGATTTGGCAGATTTGTGTAACCTAACATGCTGTTAATTGTACCTACGACTTAAAATTACGTATTTACTTTACCCATTCAAATTCCATTATATGAAACATGGCAATATCTGTTTATACATGCCCTGTCAAAACATGAAAAGTAAAGGTGAGTACCTCTCTACTTGTATACTAAATCTCTCGACGCGCTTCCTTATTCATCAACGTTCATTCACAACTTGAGTAATCAGCCCGCCAATACTATCAATGTTGCCAAAATAACAAGCCGAATCGTGCAAAACAAACTTTATCCACCATTATAATTTTATTCCGCCCGAAGGCGTCAAAAAAAAACAAATCCTTCCGCAAAGAATTTAGGAGTGTCCGCGCTGAGACGAAATCCGACTTTACTCGTTATAAATTTTGTGTAAGATAACAATACATGCGTGTGGGTGTGTGGCACAGTCGTTGACGAGTATAGTTACGGGCACGCAATAACGCTAACAAGCGTGCAAGCGAGAGGCATATAAATTAGTATAGCGTTGTCTCCGTTGTGCCGCCGGCAATATGGCGCGCTGACTCGGGCGCAGGCTCGAATCGTATCGCCTGCCCACTCAAGGTTCGCTGACTGCCGTTCTTTTGTTTTTAATGTTGCCACAAGTAGATTTTCCCCCCACTAGGTGAATGCTGGGTGTTAGAATATTTTTTTTCTAATTAATAACTTAAATATGTATATCTTTTTATACCTAGAATGTTGCCTTTATTCTCATTATAGCCTTCAAAATCATACACATTATTATTACTGCCTTAAATTTAATTATGTAACCGATGCTATAAACACGAACCCGGGATCTTATTCGGTTGCCTATTTTAATTAGTCTGCGATGAATGCTGACATCAGTGTAGCAACGTTCATGTCAATATTATTCATGAATAATATATATATATATATATATATAAATCTATATATATATATATATATATATATATATATATATATATATATATATATATATATATGTAAATACAAATAAAAAAAGGATGTTTAGTTATTATAAGGTAACTGCATGCATTATTCGCATTTGTAAACTTGGTTCAACTAGGAAAATACGTGGAGATTCGAAACAATCACCTTGGTACCCCGAACCGCAGACGAAAACAGCGTCAAGCCGAGGACCTGCTCAAACCGAACGTCTGCATACCGATCGTTCGTTTTTTAAACGCGCTCGTCGGTGTACAGCAGTGAATGTGTGCGTGCGCGTCGCTGTGTGCGCGACTCGTTCTCCCGCGCTATTGTTGTGTGCAGTACACTCGCGGCCATCGTTCATACGACACGGCTTGCGCAAACCGCAACTCCCGATAAACAAAATAATGAGCAGTGTGACGCGAATCGCGAGTGCAAGCGACTAGTGTGTGATAACGAGTATGTAACGTGGTGTTGTGATAAACGTAGTGGTCTACGTGTTGTGTTGGCGTGAGCCATGCTCGTGTTTAGGTATGTTCTGATTAATTATGCCATCACCGGGGTCGGTGGCCGTTGATTTCGCTACTGAGATCGGTTTGTGTATTTTTATAATGTGTTCCGATGTTGCTGTAAGTTTCATTACCGTGGAATACGCTGGCGACAATATGTGTTCGCCGACTGACTTTATCAGTCTGTTAGGAAGTGTGTCGTGTATTTTATAACGTAATTACATTGTTATCGGTGCCGGTAAGTCGGTGAATAGTGAACTTTGCTATTAGTATCGCCTGGCGGTGGCGCGTATCAAAACCATAACACAGCGTTTGTAACTAAACTCCGCGCGCTTCGGTTTCTACAAGTCATTCGAAACTCATTTCATCGCACGTATACAGTACTACAATGGAATTAATCACTGGAATTATGTTACTATGAAAATTTTGTTTGCCGGCACAAAAATAAAAATCCTAACCTCAAAATTTACTGCATGCTTGTGTTCAATCAAATGTAAACACCATCAAATTAAAGTAGTACTTACACGTAGTCTTATGTTTAAATAAGACAATATTTTTACCTATCACAAAAATTGTCAGTAGTGAAGACCAATGCAGTAGGAATCAAAATATTGTTAATATAGTACAAAAGATAAAATTCGAATGTTCTCAATTCTCATAATAGCTGATTATACCAAATATAATCAACTATTAGTTATAGTAAATATATCAATCAAATAACATTAATACTATTTGATTACCAGATTCCAGAATAGAATCGTATATTATTCTGCGCCGCAAACTATTTATTCACTGCAATAATTATATATTATGTTGCAGTGAATTATGTTGTTTAATAATAACATACCTATTATATAATTTGTGATAATTAATAAGTGTTATGCAGTGGATAAACTAATACTACAAACATACTTTATAATCTTTTGGTAAGAGTTCGCTAAAAACGCTTAAAACACCATCTTTGAAACACTTATAAAAGTCGGAAATGATTGAATTGAAGTCGTGAACTCATAAATAAAGGGATATCTTTGCGACATTGTCACAAACCCTGGAAAAAATGCACACTGTAGTTAACGTGCCTTTACTAGGAACGTTAGGACTAGCGCGCTATTTTAAAATACCTAGTAGACTAGTAGGTACACAAGTGCAATAATTATTTTCATTGAAAATTTTAATTAACCCAATGCCCGTAGAATAATTGAAATGTTCATCGTAAGACTATGTATTAAAACGACAAGGACAAAGTTAGTAATTGTAATGCCATTTGTTTTTTTTTATTACGCATAGCCCCCGTTCCTTCTCAAATGTGTTCCAACGCACCTGCTTTATGAAAAAAACTGGGATGTCCTTAACAAAAATTAATAGGTTCCATTATATTTGTAATGATACGTTAGGCTTAATTAAGGGCTGTATAAATTCTTTTGATACCATTCCTAGATCTGAGCGATGTCATAAGTTTTTTCTAGCTAAATTTTAACAGACTTCAGAACCGAATCAGCGAAGTTCCTGTTTTCGACACGTATTTTACGTATGATTTTCTTTTTATCAATATTGAGAATCTACACATAAAAGCCGATAGATTTTAATAAAATGTTCGTTTCCGTGGTTCACAGACCACACATCGACCGTGATTTGTTGTTTTAAATGGTAAATTTCGGCGTTATAATCTCGGAATCAAAAATATATTTATTGTACAGTGCAGAATAAACATTGAGATAGGTACCTAGTTCGTAGCGGTAATTTTTTGTGCTTTACATCTTATTAATGTAAGGCTCAAAATAGTAGAGAAAGATTTTAATACAAAGCGCGATGGCACTTTTTTAAGCTTCTGTGCAAGCTTAATTTGTATGGCCGCGTAGTGCGTTTGTATTTAAAATAGGACTCTTAAATATGCCTTTTTTTTCAAATAGTTAAATTCAAAGTAGATGTTACCGAGATGGACCGCGTGTTTAAAAGAAGTATATAAACAGTTTCGCAGTTTAATAGGTTAATTATAGGTCATTTATTCTATGCTTTCAATCAAATATCTTCACTGCATGTACAAATAATCTTATAATGCAATTCGAAAGAAGGTAGGACAAGTAACCATACTTCTTTATTTATTATTAGATTAATTATGCTTTTAGATGAATTTGCATATGTGATGTAGGTAATACACTTCCAGCATTACTTTTCCGATATCTTCAGTTGTCAATTGCATTATTTCTTAATCAATTTACGTAAATCCTTAATTAAATATTTACCTAAACCTTTTAATTGATCTGTAACTAGATGGAAACGGCAAAAAAATAATACGGTAGTTTTTGAATTATCCCGCTCAAACGACTCGACAACTAGACTTTTATTCTGTATAGTGACGGTTGTAAGCAGTTAATTAACACAATGCTGCTAACTTTGTTGTTATAATCACAAAACCAACTTATAAAAACAAGTATATACAAATGTATATTATGTATCCTAAATAAATTACCGTATGGTAAGTACCTATATGAATAGGAAAACTAATTTCGTATTGTCTCTTAAAACTGTATAAGAAAAGTTATTACTAAAGATTCTGCTGCCAAAGTTAAATCTGAAAATAATTACGAAACTTTGTGGAATCCCTGACAACTTTTGACGGTCAACTCACTTTGTAAATGAGATATTTTACACAAATTCCTTTTTTTTCTTTTTATTCTAAAAAATCTTGCGCCACAGCCCACAGTCGTTTCTCAATAAGGTGACCGTCACGAAACGAAAAAAAGAATATTTATAACCCTTTTATTCTTTTAAAAAGAAAAAATATATTTTTAAATCGTTTTATTTTTTACGGCGCGCAGTAAAATGCGACAGGCTGGGTCACGAGTGGCCAGTTCGAAAACCAAGTATTGAAACGCTTTCACAGAATGATTTTTCCATTTCGGAACGTTACTTTATATTTTTTCAAAAAACCTAGATAATATTTTGAATCACGGAACAAACCTAAATTTGCAGCGATAACAAAACTAGTAGTTGGAACGTTTTCTTCTTTTATTTGTGATTGTTTTTTTTTATTATTTAAAAGAGGTTTTAATACATTAAAGCCAGTTAAGACATGCCTGTTAAAATTATATTACTTGTTTGTTATAATCTTGCGGTGTTAAATAGGCGAAAGAAATCTATCACAACTTTCAAGTTCTGAAGACTCGAAAAATTTGGAGATTATTTTTTAAGTCCAGAATAAGAAAGTCGTAGTTCACAAAGAAGGCTTAACGCTCAATATGAGAACCAACGGGAGACTCGAGAATTTTAATGCGCTCGTGTTGTACAATGATCACATGCAGCATACAAAATGATTTTCAAAATGCACAGAGCAACTAATGTGTATTACGTTAAAACCAAAAAAGTGTATTATTAAAAAGAAGAATCTTCTAATAAGGCACATTTAATATACTAATGTATGTTTCATCACACGTAAAATTTTCAATTAGGTAATACATATGTATGTATATTATATGTTAGTAACAAGGATTGTATTTCTCTACATCTTGTACGGTTTTAACATGAATACGTAGGCGAATATTATTGGTTTTACTCAGGAATCTTCTCTCAATAACCTACTTAGTTTTAAGAGTCACTAAAATACAGGATCTTTACAGTCATATAAACTCGGAGAAACTCGACGTACTGCAAAAGGTTTACGATCCAAGCTATAATGCAAACTTTGCCTTCTCCATTTCGTAAATTGTCATTTTACAGTTTTAAGTAACAGTATGTTGTAAGTAACACTGACAAACGATGTACATCAAAAATAAAGAAACTGAATTCGATAATAAATGTGTTTCAAATTTCGAATTTAAACGTTTTTTTAGCGGCAATCTTAATTTATTTGTATTTTAATCATAAAATATTCTTGTAATTCTAAATTCGAATCGTATCACTGTTATGTAACCTCATTATGTATCGACTGTCATTTAACTACGATGAATAATTTGAATTCCATCCGTTCTCACTTGTCATCGTGTCGTGAAGCGAGTTTTCGTGGTACTTAATCTCGATTTATGATTATCATACAGGCCACGTATTCAAAATGTTGGTTCTTTGTTGCTTCGGCCGTAGCTTATGTATGTCACATAAATACCGACTGATGTGTGTGATTAATGTGATATATGATGCCGGAGTATTGTAGAATGCTTAAGGAATTCATTGGAAAAATGTTATAATTAAAAAGGTTAAAACGGAAACCGTTTAAAAACAATAACTAATGGGACTTATCTCAAAAACTGTAAAACGTTAGTAGTAATTTTGTCTGCGTCTAATTATAAGAATCTACAAATAAAATGTGGCATCGTTACAATAAATTTCATTTTGCTGCCGTCTATATAATGAGGGGTTCCTAGAAAATACCAGGGACGATTTCACGCTGCATCCAGACTCCAGATACCATTGTCCTAAAAAAAAACTATAGGGTTGTTAAATAATATTATAAATTTAATGTTTTAATAACGGAAAAACATTTCCATTTATTTATACATTTATATTTTGGTAAATATTAACTGTTTATTAGAAGGTATTCAAATGTTTATCTACATACCTACAAGCCAATTCAAACTCTTTCCTTTTCAAGACTTCTTCACTTTTAAATGTGCCTCGTTTTCATAAACAAAGATCAGATTTTTATTCTTAATTAACTTTAATTTTTTCTAAATTGTTATTGCCAATGAATTTGTGGTGTTGACATTTGGCAACCCTGTTAGTTCATTTTAAATGTTCTTAGTTTTTTTTCTGAAACATCTTTGGCATGAAACGGACAGTTTCCAAAGTGATAACATGTGATGTTGACATTTTTTTTAAATTATTTTTGGGATGTTATTGAAGATGCAATAATGACACCTATTACAAGCGAATAAGGATAAATGTCATTTGTCATGGATGCTGTTGTACTATTCACATCATAAAATATGCCAACTTTTTGCAAGGGCATAAGATGTCCTTTCATTTGGTTAGGTTAATGAGTCTTTTTTTAGTATTTTCGAGAAATTTTTACTTTTTCATTATGTACTAATGCTAGTTGTTATAGTGAATTGTCCATTTGTTAATAATTAGGTAGTAAGATCAATAACTAGT